CCCCAGTACTGCACCCTTAAAATACAACTGTAGCAGGCTTTATGCACCATTCTTATACCCTCAAACCTGAACATAAAATCATAGATCTACAATACAACTCACTGTGCTTTTCAGTTGACTAGCAAACAAAATGAACAGTCTGACCCGGCGGTCACTGGCTCTGGTAGCTAGCTAAAGCGAAGCTAAACATAAGCAAAATGAATTATCAAGGCATATGGATGAAGATAACTCACGGTAGGAATAACGAGAGTCTGGGAGCCAAAGCGTTCCTCGAGGAGGCTGAACTATTGTGTGAGGCAGCAACCATGAGAGAGAATCTAACGATCAGGAAGTGAGAAAACGAAGTAACAAGAAGATGGATAGTGATAGACCACAGCCAGCAAAGGCGAGAAGAGAAACGATTAGCACCTGACAGGCTGACTGACAATGTGGTTTCTATTGGTTTGCACATGCGTAAAACAGTCGACGTGATGTTTAAAATGGACGGCGAAGGGCATTGTTACTGAATGAAGTCCATTTCTCTATCGCTATATATTATCATTATTTTTTAAAAATAAAAGTAGATAATTTTTAAATATATTTTTTCCTTTCAGGATAGTGCAAAAAATAGCAAATCAATTTACCCCAGTACTGCACCCTTAATTTTAGTCACATTTTCCCATAGTCAGCAAAAATTAAAGTTAGTGGATGGACAAAAGACTCATTTTGATGTGCATCTACATCTAGGGGTGGTGAAAATGGGTGTCACTTTGGTGGGTGTGGTTGTCACTCCCAGGACTAAGCGAAATGACAAATTTTTGTCACATTTTCCCATAGTCAGCAAAAACTAAAGTTAGTGGATAGACAAAAGACTCGTTTTTATGTATGTCTACATCTAGGGGTTGTGAAAATGGGTGTCACTTTGGTGGGTGTGGTTGTCACTCCATGGACTAAGACGAAATGACAAATTTCAGTCACATTTTCCCATAGTCAGCAAAAACTAAAGTTATTGGATGGAGAAAAGACTCATTTTTTCGTGCGTCTACATCAAGGGGTTGTGAAAATGGGTGTCACTTTGGTGGGTGTGGTTGTCGCTCCCAGGACTCAGACAAAATGTTTCATTTTAGTCACATTTTCCCATAGTCAGCGAAAACTAGTTAGTGGATGGACAAAAGACTCATTTTTATGTGTCTACATCTAGGGGTTGTGAAAATGGGTGTCACTTTGGTGGGAGTGATTGTCACTCCCAGTACTAAGACGAAATGACAAACTTTAGTCACATTTTCTCATAGCAAAAACTAAAGTTAGTGGATGGATAAGACTCATTTTTATGTGCGTCTACATGTAGGGGTTGTGAAAATGGGTGTCACTTAGGTGGGTGTGGTTGTCATTTCCAGAACTAAGACAAAATGACAAATTTTAGTCACATTTTCCCTTAGTCAGCAAAAACTAAAGTTAGTGGATTGAAAAAAGACTCATTTTAGGTGCATCTACATCTAAAGGTTGTGAAAATGTGTGTCACCTTGGTAGGTGTAGTTGTTGGTTTCCCCTCCTACATTCTGCTTACTTATTTCACTCTATAATAGTGCTTTGTTTTTCATGTGAAATAAAAATTTTTAATGGAGGTATTAATAGATATTATTATCATTATTATTATTATTATTTCATATTTTTTCAAATGCTTTTAGTCATTTTCCTGTTTGTTTTTTTATGATGAGCTTATTCTAACAGATCTATGCTGCCCATGCATAGTTTTACATTCATTGTTTCTGTAGGACTTGGGCCCTCAACTTTTTATTGTCTAGACTTTTTATGTCATTTCAATCTGTTGTTCTATTATAATTGCAAAGTATAA